ATTTTTTGGTTGCAGCCATCATTGTTGTTTGGCGGCCCAGGGGGGATTCGAACCTGCCACCTTAGGTGTATGTGGCTGGCGCCTTAGCCACTTGAGCCACAGGCGCCGAGCCTGGACAATTTCTTAGCATGCTGTATATATAACTCGTTGTCCTGATCATGCTAAAATGTTTGAATAAAAATATAATTAAATCTCTGGTAGCAAGTAGAAAAGGGAGGGAAGGATGATGTGTGTTATGTGCATATTCAGTATGGATAGGTTTTTAAATAGATCGTGGGGATTCGAACCTGCCACCTTAGGTGTACGTGGCTGGCGCCTTAGCCACTTGAGCCACAGGCGCCAAGCCTGGACAGTTTCTTAGCATGCTGTATATATAACTCGTTGTCCTGATCATGCTAAAATGTTTGAATAAAAATATAATTAAATCTCTGGTAGCAAGTAGAGAAGGGAGGGAAGGATGATGTGTGTTATGTGCATATTCAGTATGGATAGGTTTTTAAATAGATCTTGGAGGGGGGCGGCCCCATATACCAGAGGTGGTGGGTTCAAACCTGGCCCCGGCCAGAAACTGCAAAAAAAAAAATTTATGTATGTATATATATCTGAGGGGTTTTTTTCCTTTCCTTTGTACTAGGCCTCCCCATCCAGGTTCGAGATGCAGGATTGTCTTTTAAAGATGACATGCCAAAGTCAGATGTCAATAAAGAGTACTATACACAGAACATGGAGAGAGAGGTATGCTGCCACTTTTTTGATTAAAAATCGTGGTGAATTGATACAATGGATATAATTTATCTTTTGAATTTGTCATCCCTATGTAGATTTCTAACTCAGATGGAACTCGGCCAGTTGGCATGCTGGGGAAAGCCACATCTACCAGTGACATGCTGCTCAAACTGGCCCGAACCACACCCTACTACAAAAGGAATCGGCCACACATTTGCTCCTTCTGGGTAAAAGGAGAGTGCAAGAGAGGAGAGGAGTGTCCATACAGGCAAGAGCTGAGCCTCATTTTCAGCATTTGCTTTCAGATGATCACTCATCTAAGAAATGGGAGATGCTAGCTTATACTATTTCTTTCTTGCTTTTTTTTTTCCATTTTCTTGAGACAGAGGCTCACTTTGTCACCCTTGGTAGAGTGCTTTGGCATTGTAGCTCACAGCAACCTTAGGCTCTCGGGCCCAAGTGATGCTCTTGCCTCAGCCTCCCAAGTAGCTAGGGCTACAAGTGCCCACCACAACACCCAGCTATTTTTAGAGATGGGGTTTTGCTCTAACTCAGGCTGGTCTAGAACTCAAGAGCTTAGGCAGTTCGCCTGCCTCAGCCTCCCAGAGTGCTAGGATTACAGACATGAGCCACTGCACCTGGCCCTCACTATTTTTTAGAGATGAGGTCTTGCTCTTGAACTCCTGACTCAAGCAGTCTACCCAACTTGGCCTCCCAGAGTGCTAGGATTACAGGTGTGAGCTATCATTCCCGGCCTAGTTTATACTATTTCTGTTTTAAAATCTGCAGCTGGGCAGCGCATGTGACTCAAAGGAGTAGGGTGCCAGCCCCATATGCTGGAGGTAGCGGGTTCAAACCCAACCCCAGCTGAAAAATAAAACTAAAAAAAAAAAAAAAAAAGAAAACCTGTAGTGCAGGCTGGCATTCTCCCTTCCTCTCTTTGGGATGCCATGCCATTCTTCACTACTTTTCTCCTCCATCTTTCCTTCTCTCCCTTGCTATTCTCTGCTGCCTTCTCTCTCTCATCTCTTCTCACTCTCTTCCCTTTCTTTAATATAAAATAAACTTATGCTTACTTACAAGTATACTTACACTTCTTAAAAAAGTAAATAAAATCTAAAGCTCATAAAACTAGTATATTTCATACTTAAGGACCATTAAATTTAGAAGAATTTGATTAAATCATAGTTTTTACTTACAACTAAGCCTTGGGAAACTAAGTTGGTGTGCCATATAGTATAGATGCTGACCCTAAAAGTTTCTGCCTGAATAGTAAGTGCTCACTGTCTTGTTATCAATGCCTTGACTTTCAGTGTATAGCTAAAGTCAAAGTAAGGCTGAATTTGTAAAGGGTTTGTGAGTATGTTTCAGTTAAGACTGCCAAGCATCTAAATTAGAAGTTCTTAGGATTAGTTAACCCTATTCCAATAATACATCTTGCAAACATAATATATGTCCTTTTTCTGGGGCTGTGTCCATAACTTTAATCAGATTCTCAGTGGAATGCGAGACCTCAAAAATGTTAAGAACCATTGACCTAGATAAGGGTAACCATGTGTTTGGTTGGTTTGGGGTTGATCATGCCAAAATGGGTTTTTGGGTTTTTTTTTTTTTTTTGCAGTTTTTGGCTGGGGCCATGTTTGAACCTGCTACCTCTAGTATATGGGGCTAGTGCCCTACTCCTTGAGCCACAGGCACCACCCCAAAGTGTTTCTTTATAAAGAAATTTAGGGGCTCAGCACCTGTGGCTCAAGTGGCTAACGCGCCAGCCACATACACCTAAGGTCGTGGATTCAAATCTAGCCTGGGCCTGCCAAACAACAGTGTTAGCTGCAACCAAAAAAATAGCTGGGCGTTGTGGCGGACGCCTGTGGTCCCAGCTACTTGGGAGGCTGAGGCAGGAGACTCGCTTGAGCCCAGGAGTTGGAGGTTGCTGTGAGCTGTGATGCCATA